CTCTCTCTCTCTCTCTCCTTCATGATTTCAACACGGAAAACGAAGATTTTTAGGTGAAAAGCAAGCGTGAGCTTTAATGCATTTTTTTTCAATTCTCAGAGAGGAATCACTGCCAAACGATTACGTGCAAAGCGGAACATCACTTTCCATGTACAGCACGTTGCTCGCGCGCGCGATGCCACGAAATTGCATTTTCATTCGACAATTCTTATGATACCAATTTGCCATTTTCAATCGATCTTTATGGTCCCTCAAAATGTAGTCGTTTCCATTTTCCCCGAATATCGTCGTGGATCCGAGATTATAATGTTCACGAGCGGATCGGATCCAATTTACAAGCTTCAACGCGTACACGAATTTTTCTGTCGCTCGGAAGATATCGGCGAACATCTGGCGATCTGTTAATGTTGAGGCTGCCTAGACCAACACGACGGCCAAGTTTCAGGCATGGCTTACGAGGTAAAGCAAATAAACAGGAATTAAATCTGGAAGGCTTTACCGCGCGGCGAAAAGATCCGGATATTTCTATGCGGATTCAGTGCAGCGCAAATGAGATCGAGGAAAAAGAAAATACGGGGGAAAAATAAGGCATAAGTAAAGTCCGAAGGGAGATAATCGCGATGCATTCGGATCCGCCGGATGAATTGCATTAAGCGAATCGTTTTCCGGTTTCTTCGCGAAAGAGATAACTTCTCATCGCCTCGGTCTTTAATTCCGGCGAGTTACGTAATTGTTATCCTTACGCGCTTAATGACGTTGATGTTGATAAGTAAGAGGTGAGGTCTGCGGTGCCGCCGCGTGTACGTGAGAGTCGAAACGCGCGTCGTGGTACGCGCTATTAAATTTAGCGTTCAAGGAAGGAACGGCGGGGGGGAGGGGGAGAGGGGACCTGAATCATCGGACGTATGTATAGCAACAAGTTTGACACGCCACGTCAAGCCGCGGTAGAAGTATTACGGAAACGACCGGAAGCGCGGGACGCCCCCGAATACTTTTCCATCGCTCTCCTCTGTTTCTCGCGTGCGCGCGAACGGGCGCGTGCGCACGTGCAACGATCGCTTCCGCAGTAAGCGCGTGCTAAGTATAGACGGTGTGTTGGCCAGCGGCATTGTTATTGCTTGCAGCGCTAGCAGCGGCGCTGCTCGGCTTTGGGATCCGTGTTTATGAAAGGTCCGAGTTGCTCGCCCTCCCCCCCCCCCCCTCCCCATCTTCCCCCCATCCCGCTAAGTTATGACCTCAGATGTATTTGGATATTACGACTCGAGTAGGTCACCGATCGGAGCAAACACACGAGCGGGTGTACACCGTAAACCGCGCGTACACACCACCGACGCGGGTGTTTAGTTGCGTTTACAGGAGCCGTCCCAATGAATGAAATCAGCGTCTCGGAGGAAGCGCCGGAACCCTCCCTCGGAACGGCTCGTAAAACCATTCCGGTGAATGTAAGCGCTAGATTAAGATTTGCATAACCGTCGCGTTCTCCGGCCGAAGCGTTTTAATGTGATGATCGGGCTGACGCGACTTATGCATACATAGCTCGACGCGTTACGTAACTTTATGCAACTTCATGCTGAGATTGTAATCTCCACGAGCCCGCGCGATGAGCACGAATTAGCGTAATATATAGCGAAAACTAAGAGATCCTAGACTGGATGCGCGTTGATCAAAGTGAAATCCACAAACCCTTGAGCATCTGTTTAAATATCATTCTGGCTGCCCTATCTTATCAGGACACGACGTGACCAACGTGACAGAAGGATGAATACATGCCGTTGGCTTGGCGACAGTCAAAGGCAGCTGTTCATATATGCACTAGTTAGTTCAGTATCACGATAGCAATATTCGCGCTCCTAAATCAACAAATCTTGAATTTTATTTTGCCGTAAATATATTTTTTTAATTAGGAGATATGAATAAAAAAGTGAGCTTTAATGTACACTATTCTGCTCCATTTTAGTCTTATCCTTATTCTTAAATTAAATTGCGTCTTGTTTTCATCTGCAAATATTTATTTCATTATCATTTAAGAACAAGTATTAAAATGTTGTACACATAAATATACATGTGTGAGTATCCATATATTGAGCTGTATATTGAGCTGATTCGTTAAATTTAAATATCTGTTGATCAATCATCTTTGCAGAAAGTCATATAAGCCATTTGATGATGTGTTAAAAAAGATTTTATTACTAACTTGCAAAAATGTTTATACTGCTATTTTAATTAATTTTAATTAAAAGATAAACGCTGTTGCTATTTTAATTAACTTTAATTGAAAGTTAAATATTAGCGAATGCATTTGGCAATATCGCGATGCAAAAATGCAAAAATCCTAACTATCGGTCAGAGTTTCAAGTTAGTGCAACAAAAATGATATATATTTCTGTCGTCGGATTGTGGACTAAACCGCGCAATTTCGGACGGAGCGGTTTCGCCGCGACGCATATATCACGGGAATCGGACGTGCAGATTTTTTTCAGATATATCTCGCGAGCAGCCAACACGCGGAAACCGCGTGCATGCAAAAGAAGAGAAAAAAAAAACGTCGACGTACGCGCGTACGTGCGTCTGCCTCTTCATAAAGTCATAACTCAACCGTACTCTCCCCCTCCTACCTCCCCCCCCCTCCTCGACGTACATCCCTCGGCATAACATTTAAAACGATTTCCGCTGGCAGCCGTGCCAAGACCGTAGCAGCGTTGTTTCGGGGATAGATTAACGAAACATAACGCCAGTACTCGCTACGGACTTCCAAGAGGTAGCTCAGATAATGGGAAGGGGCGTGTTGGCACCGCTCTAGCAGTTAAGCAGCATTCAGTGCCGGCGATGCCGGGGGCTCGGCCTCCGGGACCGGGCACGATCGATGGAAAATTTCGGGAGTCTCAGGGGCAACCCACAAGTCTTCACAAAAGCCTTAAGCATATACAAAAATTTATACGTATAACCCAAAAAAATATATCTAATAAGGATAATCGCGATCAGTCATATTATACGCAGAAAATGGGGCGGCAATCACGCGATGCCGAGTATCACGTGTTACGAACGCGATAAATATCCGACGAAAATATCTCGGATGTTTCGAAAGATATCGTAACTTCGTACGACGGAGAGCTATGTCGAGTTAGCAACTCTCGGACGGCGAGGACAGCGGTGTATGACCAGCATTATTTACGACATTACTCGCCATAAATATGGGGGAGAAAGAGAAAGAGAGAAACCATCCTATATCATGTTCGGATGTTCCGTACGATTATGGTGTCCCTCATCTTCATCCTTCTTTGCCCCTAAGACCGACTTTCTTGGTTTACCGTAACCGCGAACGCGCGAGGACGTGCGTCCTGCCATCCCCTCCGGTCCGTCTGGAAGAGAAATGCGAGAGTTTCGTGCTGCCGGAAAAAAAGGGGTGTAAAAATACGCGTATCCGGTCCTGGCATTTACGGGGAAGTCCACAGAGTCTGATGATACATCGCGGACTCGCCGCGTCAGCCATCCCCCATGTCGCGATCGCGCTCTTTCCCTTTATCCCTTCCTCCTTCCCTACCCCATCCGGACTCTCGGCGTTAAGAGATTAACTCGTCACGTCGGGCCATTTTAATATTCCGAATCGTGGGGACGGCGAATCGTCGAAATTAATCGGAGAAACGGCACACGGCCATAAGTATCCGTTACTTTCGCGCGCATCTGATATTTTTTTTTTGCGCGCGCGAAACGCATCTCGATTAAAAATTGCAATGTCCGTGTCGCGCGTACTCTCGGTGGTCACTGCTCCGTGAAGTATATAGGCGGAAATTGAGACTAAATAAATCGATATTTCGAAGTTCTG